GGGGCTGGGGACAACTGGGAGGGGATGAAGGGAACGGGGAGGACAAAGGAGGGCCTGGGGCAGCGGGGAGGGGACAGGGAGGGGACAAGGAGAGCTGGGGACACGGGGAGGGACCGGGAAGGGGAGGGTGACACCGGGGGACACCGAGGAGGGGTCACGGGTGACCGGCTGGAGCCGGGGAGGGACTGGGCGACCCCGAGGGGACCAGGGTGACACCGAGGGGATCAGGGGAGACCCTGAGGGGACCAGGGGGGGACCAGGGTGACACCGGGGAGGGGACCCCGGGGGGAACGGAGGGACCGTGAAGGGACGGGGGGGGAACCGGGGGAGCTCCGGTGGCACCGGCGGGGACGATGACGGCGGCGGGAAGGGACAGAGCGACACCGGGGAGGGACAGAGGGACACCGGGGAGGGACAGAGGGACACCGGGGAGGGACAGAGGGACACCAGAGGGGACCGGAGGGACAGCGAGGGGGGACCGGGTGGCACTCGGGGAGGGGAGGGGACAGCCCGGCCCCAGGGGTGGGGACACACCGGGGAGGAACCGGCGGCCCCGGGGGTGGGGGGAGCCCTGGGGACACCGGTGACGTCACGGCGGAGGAGGAAGTGTCCCCGTCCCCCCCTCCCCCACTCGTGTCCCTTTTCCCCCCACGGGGATTTCGCCTCCCGGCCGTGACGGATTCCCGGAGTTTCCTGCGCGGAGCTGGGAGGGAATTTTTGACCCCGGGACCGGGAAGGGTTTGGGAGGGGGTGGGGTGGGGGACACGACACGGGGGTGGGGGTGGGGGACGGGAGAAGATTCCCGGACTCCTGGGGGCTCCCGGAGAGGCGTGACTGTCCCTTGGGATTGGGGAGAGACCCCAAAAATGGGACCTCTACGGGACACCCTGAGTGGGACCCCAAAATGGGGACCCCAATGGAAAGACTCCCAAAATGGGGACCCCAGTGAAACCTCCCAAAATGGAACCCCCAATATGAAACCCTCCCAAAATGGAATCCTCCTGAGTGGGATCCCAAAGAAAGCCCCCACCCCCATGGGAAGCTCCTCAAAGGGGGACCCCAGTGGGAGACCCCTGAGTGGCACCCCAAATGTGAAACCCCCCCAAATGTGACACCCCTCGAGTGGCACCCGAAATATGAAGCCCCCAAAATGTGACACCCCAAATGTGAACCCCCAAAATGCGACCCCCAAATGTGAAGCCCCTCCCAAAATGTGACCCTGAAATGTGAAGCCCCTCCAAAATTTGACCCCCGAGGGACACCCCAAATGTGAACCCCCCAAAATGTGACCCCCAAATGTGAAGCCCCCCAAAATGTGATTCCCCTGAGTAAGACCCCAAAATGTGAACCCCCAAAATGTGACTCCCGAGTGAGACCCCAAAATGTGACACCCCAAATGTGAAACCCCCAAAATATGACACCTCCGACTAACCCCCAAATGTGAAGCCCCCAAATGTGACCCCCGAGTGACACCCCAAATGTGAACCCCTCCCAAAATGTGACCCCCAAATGTGAAGCCCTCCCCAAAAAATGTGACACCCCCTGAGTGGCACCCCAAATATGAAGCCCCCAAAATGGGACCTCCCAAATGTGAAACCCCCAAAATGTGACGCCTCCCGAGGGACACCCCAAATGTGAAGCCCCCAAAATGTGACCCCCAAATGCGACCCCCAAAATGTGACCCTCGAGGACACCCCAAATGTGAACCCCTCCCAAAATGTGACCCCCTGAGTGAGACCCCCAAATGTGACACCCCAAATGTGAAAACCCCCAAAATATGACACCCCTGACTAACCCCCAAATGTGAACCCCCCAAAATGTGACCCCCAAATGCGACTCCCCCAAAATATGACACCCCGAGTAACCCCCCAAATGTGAACCCCCCAAAATGTGATACCCCAAATGCGACCCCCCAAAATATGACCCCCTCGAGGGACACCCCAAATGTGAACCCTCCCCAAAATGTGACCCCCAAATGTGAACCCCCAAATGTGACCCCGAGTGACACCCCAAATGTGAAGCCCCCAAATGTGACTCCCCGAGTGGCACCCGAAATATGAAGCCCCCAAAATGTGACACCCCAAATGTGAAACCCCCAAAATGTGACGCCTCCCCGAGGGACACCCCAAATGTGAACCCTCCCAAAATGTGACCCCGAGTGACACCCCAAAATATGACCCCCGAGTGAGACCCCAAATGTGAACCCCACAAATGTGACCCCCACGAATGAGACCCCAAAATGTGACACCTCAAATGTGAAAAACCCCCAAAATGTGACCTCCCAAATGTGAAGCCCCCCAAAATGTGACACCCCAAATGTGAAACCCCTCCCAAAATGTGATCCCCTGAGTGACCCCCAAATGTGAACCCCCAAAATGTGACCTCCCAAATGTGACCCCCAAAATGTGACGCCGTCCCGAGTAACCCCCAAATGTGAACCCCCAAAATGTGATACCCCAAATGTGAAGCCTCCCAAAATGTGACCTCTCCCGAGGGACACCCCAAATGTGAAGCCTCCCCAAATGTGATCCCCCGAGTGAGACCCCAAAATGTGACTCCCAATGTGAAGGCCCTCAAAATGTGACACCCCAAATGTGAAGCTCCCCAAAATGTGACACTCCCGAGTGGCACCTGAAATATGAAGCCTCCCAAAATGTGACTCCCAAATGTGAACCCCCCAAAATGTGACTCCCAAATGTGAAGCTCCTCCAAAATTTGACTCCCCAAGTGACACCCCTGAATGTGAACCCCTCCCAAAATATGACCTCCCCAAATGCGACTCCCCAAAATGTGACTCCCCCGAGTGACACCCCAAAATGTGACCTCCCACCCGAAATATGAAGCCCCCAAATGTGACACCCCAGTGAAACCCCCAAATGACGCCTCCCCGAGGTTTTAAATGTGAACCCCTCCCAAAATGTGACCCCCAGTGACACCCAAAATATGACCCCCGAGTGAGACCCCAAATGTGAACCCCAATGTGAGCCACGAATGAGACCCCCAAAATATGACACCCCGAGTAACCCCCGAAATGTGAACCCCCCAAAATGTGATACCCCAAATGCGGCTCCCCAAAGATGACCCCCTCGAGGGACACCCCAAATGTGAACGCCTCCCCAAAATGTGACCCCCAAATGTGAACCCCCAAATGACTCCCGAGTGACACCCCAAATGAAGCCCCCAAATGTGACCCCCAGTGGCACCCGAAATATGAAGCCCCCCAAATGTGACACCCCAAATGTGAAACCCCAAAATGTGACGCCTCCCCGAGGGACACCCCAAATGTGAACCCTCCCAAAATGTGACCCCTCGAGTGACACCCCAAAATATGACCCCGAGTGAGACCCCAAATGTGAACCCCCAAAATGTGACCCCCACGAATGAGACCCCAAAATGTGACACCTCAAATGTGAAAACCCCCCAAAATGTGACCTCCCAAATGTGAAGCCCCCAAAATGTGACACCCCAAATGTGAAACCCCTCCCAAAATGTGATCCCCGAGTGACCCCCAAATGTGAACCCCCAAAAATGTGACCTCCCAAATGTGACCCCCAAAATGTGACGCCGTCCCGAGTAACCCCCAAATGTGAACCCCCAAAATGTGATACCCCAAATGTGAAGCCCCCCAAAATGTGACCCCTCCCGAGGACACCCCAAATGTGAAGCCCCCCAAATGTGATCCCCCGAGTGAGACCCCAAAATGTGACCCCCCAAGTGTGAAGCGCCCCCAAAATGTGACACCCCAAATGTGAAGCCCCCAAAATGTGACACCCCGAGTGGCACCCTGAAATATGAAGCCCCCCAAAATGTGACCTCCCAAATGTGAACCCCCAAAATGTGACCCCCAAATGTGAAGCTCCCCTCCAAAATTTGACCCCCAAGTGACACCCCGAATGTGAGACCCCCAAAATGTGACCTCCCAAATGCGACCCCCCAAAATGTGACCTCCCGAGTGACACCCCAAAATGTGACCCCCCAAATGCGACCCCCAAAATGTGACCCCCTCGAGGGACACCCCAAATGTGAAGCCCCCCAAATGTGACCCCCGAGTGAGACCCCAAAATGTGACACCCCAAATGTGAAAACCCCCAAAATATGACCCCCGAGTAACCCCCAAATGTGACCCCCCAAAATGTGACCCCCAAATGTGAAGCCCCCAAAATGTGATCCCCCGAGTAAGACCCCAAAATGTGAACCCCCAAAATGCGACGCCCCAAAATGTGACCCCCTGAGTGACCCCCAAATGTGAACCCCCAAAATGTGATACCCCAAATGCGACCCCCAAAATGTGACCCCTCGAGGACACCCCAAATGTGAACCCCAAAATGTGACACCCCAAATGCGACCCCCAAAATGTGACCCCCTCGAGGACACCCCAAATGTGAACCCTCCCAAAATGTGACCCCCAAATGTGAACCCCCAAATGTGACCCCCGAGTGACACCCCAAATGTGAACCCTCCCCAAAATGTGACCCCCAAATGTGAACCCCCAAATGTGACCCCCGAGTGACACCCCAAATGTGAAGCCCCCAAAATGTGACCCCCTGAGTGACACCTCAAATGTGAAGCCCCCAAAATGTGACACCCCAAATGTGAACCTCCCCTCCAAAATGTGACCTCCCAAATGTGAAACCCCCCCAAAATGTGACGCCTCCCCGAGGGACACCCCAAATGTGAACCCTCCCAAAATGTGACCCCCCGAGTGACACCCCAAAATATGACCCCCCTCGAGGGACACCCCAAATGTGAACCCCCCTCCCAAAGTGTGACCCCCCGAGTGAGACCCCAAAATGTGACCCCCAAATGTGAAGCCCTCCAAATGTGACCCCCGAGTGAGACCCTCTCAAAGGGCCCTCCCAGGAAGCTCCCAAAGCGGGACCCCCAAGGGCCCCTCCACGAAGCCTCCCCGCCCCAAACGAGAGTTGGGGGCTCAAATTTGGGGCTCCCCTGACAGGCCCCACCCTCCGCCCTTCATGACCACGCCCCTTTCAGATGACCCCGCCCCTCTCCCCGCCCACTCATTCATAGCCTGAAGAGACCACGCCCCCTTACCACTCTCCACCAATCAGCACCGCCCTCCCAAACGAGCGGGGCGCAGGATGATGACGTCATAGCAAGCGCCACCAGGCGAGGACGGCGCGGGGCCGAAGGGGGCGCATCACGTGACCCCGGTGGGTGGTGGGCGTGGTCGGAGGGGCGGGGCTTGCGTGGGTGTGGCCGCCAGGTGTGGGCGGGGCCAAAGCGGCGCGCGGGACTTCCGGGAGGGGAAGGGAAAGGTGAGGGGGGGGGTCCCAAAATTCTGGGGGGGTCCCGGGCAGTGGGGGGTCCCAAACACTGGGGGTCCTGGGAAGTGAGAGGGGGTCCCAAAACACTGGGGGTCCCCGGCAATGGGAGGGGGGAGGGGTCCCAAAACGCTGGGGAGGGGTCGAGGACACGGAGGAGACCCGGGAGCGTCCCGGTCAGTGGGAGGGGGGAAGGGGGTCCCAAATACTGGGGGGCCTCAGTAGTGGGAGGGGTCCCAAAACACTGGGGGTCCCCGGCAATGGGGGGGCGGGAGGGGTCCCAAAACACTGGGGGAGGGGTCGAGGGACACGGAGGAGACCCTGGGTGGGTCCCGGGCAGTGGGAGGGGGACACAGGAACAAGGGGGTCTCGGGGGGTCGTGAGACACGCGGGAGACTCTGGGGAGGTCCCAGGACACGGGCGGTGTCTCAGGGGTCCTCAGGGCGTCGTGGGACACCTGGACAGCCCGGGGGTCCGGAGGCACTGGGGGCGTCCCACTGGGAGTTCGTGGGACAGGGGGACACCCAGGGGGTCCGTCATGAGAGGAAGGGGGTCCCGGGGGTTCACGGGCACTGGGGGGCGTCACGGGAATAGGGGGTCCTGGGGTCGTGGGACGAGGGGACACGCGGGGGAAGGGTCCCTGGGCACTGGGGGTCCCAGTGAGGGTCGTGGGACAGGGGGACACACAGGGGAGGGGTCCCTGGGCACTGGGGGGGTCCCGTGGGGTCGCGGGACAGGAGGACACACGGGGGAGGGTCCCTGTGCACTAGGGGGGTCTCGGGGGTCGTGGGACAGGAGGACACGCGGGGTAGGGGTCCCTGGGCACTGGGGGTCGTGGGACAGGGGGACACGCTGGGGAAGGGTCCCTGGGCACTGGGGGGTGTCTCGGGGGTCGTGGAGCAGTGTGGGGGTGTTCAAAGGGTTCCCAAAACACGGGGACGCCGGGGGTCTCAGGAGGGGTCGTGGGACAGGAGGACACCGCGGGGGAAAGGGGGAGGTCCTCAGGGACTGGGGGGAGACACGGGGGCAGGAAGGGGGTTGGGGGTCCCTGGGGTGTCACAGGGAGGGGGAGGGGACACGGTGACAGCGAGGACACGGCGAGTGGGGGGCCTTGGGGACAATCAGAGACTGGGGTGGCTTTGGGGACACGGGGGGACAGTCAGGGACAGGGTGGCCTTGGGGGACTGAAGGGGCTATCAGAGACCGGGGATGGCTTTGGGGACGGGGGGACAATCAGAGACTGGGGGTGGCTTTGGGGACATGGGGGGACGTTTGGGGACAGGGGGACAATCAGAGACCGGGGGTGGCTTTGGGGACATGGGGGACGATCGGGGACAGGGGGACAATCAGAGACTGGCGTGGCTTTGGGGACATGGGGGGACGATCGGGGACAGGGGGAACAATCAGAGACCGGGGGTGGCTTTGGGGACACGGGGGGGACAGTCAGGGACAGGGTGGCCTTGGGGGACTGAAGGGGCAATCAGAGACCGGGGTGGCTTTGGGGACACGGGGGGACGGTCGGGGATAGTGGGGTGGCCTTGGGGGACAATCAGAGACCAGGGATGGCTTTAGGGACTGGCGTGGCTTTGGGGACATGGGGGACAATCAGAGACCGGGGTGGCTTTGGGGACACGGGGGGACGATCGGGGACAGGGGGACAATCAGAGACCGGGGGTGGCTTTAGGGACTGGCGTGGCTTTGGGGACAGGGAGGACAATCAGAGACCGGGGATGGCTTTAGGGACTGGCGTGGCTTTGGGGACACGGGGGGGACGGTCAGGGACAGGGGGGTGGCCTTGGGGACAGAGGGGACACCGACCCAGCAGAGCCTCCAAAGTGGGGCACAGAGCCAGGCCTGAGCTTGTCCCCGTCGCTGTCCCAGGGCCCGTTGTCACCTCGTGTCACCGCCACCAGCAGGTACCGACCCCGCCCCCCCAAAGTATCCCCAAACGGGGCGGTTTTGCCCAATTCCAGGGTTTTTTTGGGTGGGTTTTTTTTTGCCCCGGTTGCCCTCGGGTTTAAGGGCCCAAAGGGAGGAATTCGGGGCAGGAATTCGGGGCAGGAATTCCGGGGCGGGGCGGGAAGGGGGAGCCGGGAATGCTTGGGATGATCGGGAAGGGTTTGGGATCCGCCCCCGGGGCAGGGATTGCGTTTGGGACGCCTCGTTAGGGCTCATTATGCAAATGAGGTGGGCGGGGCCGGCGCCGGCGCTGGCCTGGGGGGCGGGAACCCGGTTAGACCGGGCTTGGTTAAACTGGGACCGGTTTAACTGGGATTAAACCTGGCTTCGATTGAACTGGGAGAGTGAACTGGGTTTGATTAAACTGGGTTTGATTAAACTGGGTTTGATTAAACTGGGTTTGATTAAACTGGGAGAGTGAACTGGGTTTGATTAAACTGGGTTTGATTAAACTGGGAGAGTGAACTGGGTTCAATTAAACTGGGTTTGATTAAACTGGGAGAGTGAACTGGGTTTAGTTCACCAGGCCCAGTTAAACTGGGTTCAATTAAACTGGGAGAGTGAACTGGGTTTGATTAAACTGGGTTTGATTAAACTGAACTGGGTTTAGTTCACCAGGCCCAGTTAAACTGGGTTTGATTAAACTGGGAGAGTGAACTGGGTTTAGTTCACCAGGCCCAGTTAAACTGGGTTCAATTTAATGGGGTTCAGAGAAAATAAGTTTCTCCCATTCCTGGTGCTGTTTATCCCATTTATCCCATTCCCGGTGTCGTTTATCCCATTCCTCCCGTTCCAGGTGCTGTTTATCCCATTCCCAGTGTTGTTTATCCCGTTCCAGGTGCAATTTATCCCATTCCTGGTGTCGTTTACCCCGTTTATCCCATTCCCAATGTCATTTATCCCATTCCCAATGTAATTTATCCCATTTCCAGTGTCATTTCTCCCATTCCTAATGTCATTTATCCCATTTCCAGTGCCATTTATCCCATTCCTGGTGCTGTTTATCCCATTTATCCCATTCCTGATGTCGTTTATCCCATTCCAGGTACCGTGTATCCCGTTCCCGATGCTGTTTATCCCATTTATCCCATTTCCTGATGTCATTTCTCCCATTCCCAGTGTCATTTATCCCATTTATCCCATTCCCGGTGTTGTTTATCCCATTTATCCCATTCCCAGTGTCGTTTCTCCCATTCCTGATGTCATTTATCCCATTCCAGGTGCCATTTATCCCATTTATCCCATTCCTTATGTGTTTATCCCATTCCAGGTGCCGTGTATCCCGTTCCCAGTGCCATTTATCCCATTTATCCCATTTCTGATGTCGTTTATCCCATTCCTGATGTCATTTATCCCATTCCAGTGCCGTTTATCCCATTCCCAGTGCCGTTTATCCTGTTCATCCCATTTCCAGTGCCATTTATCCCATTCCTGATGTCATTTCTCCTGTTCCAGGTGTTGTTGATCCCATTCCTGGTGCTGTTTATCCCATTTATCCCGTTCCCAGTGTCATTTCTCCCATTACTGGTGCTGTTTATCCCATTTATCCCATTCCCGGTGCCATTTATCCCGTTTCTCCCATTCCAGCTGTCGTTTATCCCGTTCCAGGTTCAGTGTCCCGGTTCCCAGTGCCGTTTATCCCATTCCTGATGTCATTTATCCCATTCCAGTGCCGTTTATCCCATTCCAGATGTCATTTATCCCATTCCCGGTGCCATTTATCCCATTCCTGATGTCATTTATCCCATTCCAGTGCCATTTATCCCATTCCTGATGTCATTTATCCCATTCCAGTGCCGTTTATCCCATTCCTGATGTCATTTATCCCATTCCTGATGTCATTTATCCCACTCCAGTGCCATTTATTGGTGTCGTTTGTCCCATTCCAGTGCCGTTGTCCCATTCCCGGTGTCGCATCCCATTCCTGATGTTTGTTATCCCATTCCAGTGCCATTTATCCCATTCCTGATGTCATTTATCCCATTCCTGATGCCGTTTATCCCATTCCTGATGTCATTTATCCCATTCCCGGTGTCATTTCTCCCATTCCAGATGCCGTTTATCCCATTCCCGGTGTCATTTCTCCCGTTCCAGGTGTGGTTGATCCCATTCCCGGTGTGTTTCTCCCATTCCAGGTGTGGTGTCCCAGTTCCCAGTGTCATTTCTCCCGTTCCAGGTGTGGTTGATCCCATTCCTGGTGTCTTTCTCCCGTTCCAGGTGTGGTGTCCCGGTTCCCGGAGTGGGATGGAGCTGCTGGCTGGGCTGGGCTGTGCCTGTGCCGGCCTCGTGGCCGCGGCGCTGCTGGGGCTGGCCTGGCACCTGGGGCTGCTCTACCGGCTGTGCCACAAGGTCTGGGGACACTGGGGACACTGGGGACACTGGGGGGACACTGGGGGGACACTGGGGGGACATTGGGGACAGGGGGGCACCTGGGGCTCCTCTACCGGCTCTGCCACAAGGTCTGGGGACAGGGGGGACACTGGGGACACTGGGGGGACATTGGGGACAGGGGACACTGGGGACACTGGGGGGACATTGGGGACACTGGGGACACTGGGGACACTGGGGACACTGGGGGGACATTGGGGACACTGGGGACACTGGGGGGACACTGGGGACAGGGGGGCACCTGGGGCTCCTCTACCGGCTGTGCTACAAGGTCTGGGGACACTGGGGACACTGGGGGGACATTGGGGACACTGGGGACACTGGGGACATTGGGGACATTGGGGACATTGGGAGGACATTGAGGACATTGGGGACACTGAGGGGACACTGGGGACACTGGGGACACTGGGGGGACATTGGGGACAGGGGGGCACCTGGGGCTCCTCTACCGGCTGTGCCACAAGGTCTGGGGACACTGGGGACTTTTGGGACATTGGGGACACTGGGGACACTGGGGACACTGGGGGACACTGGGGACATTGGGGACACTGGGGACATTGGGGACATTGGGGACACTGGGGGGACATTGGGGACATGGGGGGCACCTGGGGCTCCTCTACCGGCTGTGCCACAAGGTCTGGGGACAGGGGGGACACTGGGGACACTGGGGGACATTGGGGACATTGGGGACACTGGGGACACTGGGGGACATTGGGGACAGGGGGACACTGGGGGGACATTGGGGACACTGGGGACACTGGGGACACTGGGGGGACATTGGGGACAGGGGGACACCTGGGGCTCCTCTACCGGCTGTGCCACAAGGTCTGGGGACACTGGGGACACTGGGGACACTGGGGGGACACTGGGGGACACTGGGGACAGGGGGCATCTGGGGCTCCTCTACCGGCTGTGCCACAAGGTCTGGGGACACTGGGGACACTGGGGGATATTGGGGACAGGGGGGACACTGGGGGACACTGGGGGACACTGGGGACATTGGGGACACCGGGGGAACACTGGGGGGACATTGGGGACAGGGGGGCACCTGGGGACATTGGGGATATTGGGGACACTGGGGGGACACTGGGGGGACATTGGGGACACTGGGGGGACACTGGGGGACATTGGGGACAGGGGGACACTTGGGGCTCCTCTACCGGCTGTGCCACAAGGTCTGAGCACTGAGGGGGCATTGGGGACACCGGGGACACCAGGGGGGCAGCAGGGACACCAGAGGGAGCTGGTGGGATCACTGGGGACAGGGGGGTTCTGTCACTGTCCCCAGGGGGTTGGTGACCCCTCAGGGGGTTCTGTCACTGTCCCCAGGGGTTTGGTGACCCCCTGGTGACCCCCTGGTGACCCCTGGTGACCCCCCTGTCCCCAGGCTGACCCCGGCAGCCCCCGGCACAGTGGGGAGCTTGTGGGACATTGGGGACAGGGGGCATTCTATCACTGTCCCCAAGGGTTGGGGGCCTCTGTCACTGTCCCCAGGGGTTGGGGGGCTCTGTCACTGTCCCCAAGGGTTGGTGACCCCCCTGGTGACCCCCCTGTCCCCAGGCTGACCCCGGCAGCCCCTGGCACGGTGGGGAGCTGGTGGGACACTGGGGACAGGGGGGTTCTGTCACTGTCCCCAAGGGTTTTGTGACCCCTCAGGGGGTTCTGTCACTGTCCCCAGGGGTTTGGTGACCCCCTGGTGACCCCCTGGTGACCCCCCTGTCCCCAGGCTGACCCCAGCAGCCCCCGGCACGGTGGGGAGCTGGTGGGACATTGGGGTCAGGGGGGTTCTGTCACTGTCCCCAAGGGTTTGGTGACCCCCTGGTGACCCCCCTGTCCCCCCCTGTCCCAGGCTGACCCGGGCAGCCCCCGGCACGGGGGGGAGCTGGTGGGACACTGGGGACAGGGGGGGCTCTGTCACTGTCCCCAGGGGTTGGTGACCCCTCAAGGGGTTCTGTCACTGTCCCCAAGGGGTCAATGACCCCCTGGTGACCCCCCTGTCCCCCCTGTCCCCAGGCTGACCCGGGCAGCCCCCGGCACGGGGGGGAGCTGGTGGGACACTGGGGATGGGGGAGGTTCTGTCACTGTCCCCAGGGGTCAATGACCCCCTGGTGACCCCCTGGTGACCCCCTGGTGACCCCCCTGTCCCCCCTGTCCCCCCTGTCCCAGGCTGACCCCGGCAGCCCCCGGCACAGTGGGGAGCTGGTGGGACATTGGGGATGGGGGAGGCTCTGTCACTGTCCCCAGAGGTTTTGTGACCCCCTGGTGACCCCCTGTCCCCCCCTGTCCCCAGGCTGACCCGGGCAGCCCCCGGCACGGGGGGGAGCTGGTGGGACATTGGGTACAGGGGGGTTCTGTCACTGTCCCCAGGGGTTTGGTGACCCCTCAGGGGGTTCTGTCACTGTCCCCAGGGGTTGGGGGTCTCTGTCACTGTCCCCAGGGGTTGGTGACCCCTCAAGGGGTTCTGTCACTGTGTCCAGGGGTCAATGACCCCCTGGTGACCCCCCTGTCCCAGGCTGACCCCGGCAGCCCCCGGCACGGGGGGGAGCTGGTGGGACATTGGGGATGGGGGGGGTTCTGTCACTGTCCCCAGGGGTTGGGGAGCTCTGTCACTGTCCCCAGGGGTTGGGGAGCTCTGTCACTGTCCCCAGGGGTTGGTGACCCCCCTGAGGGTCATGGGGGGCTCTGGTGACCCCCTGGTGACCCCCCTGTCCCCCCCTGTCCCAGGCTGGCCCCAGCAGCCCCCGGCACGGGGGGGAGCTGGTGGGACATTGGGGATGGGGGAGGTTCTGTCACTGTCCCCAGGGGTTGGGGGGCTCTGTCACTGTCCCCAGGGGTCAATGACCCCCTGGTGACCCCCCTGTCCCCCCCTGTCCCAGGCTGACCCCGGCAGCCCCCGGCACGGGGGGGAGCTGGTGGGACACTGGGGTCAGGGGGGGCTCTGTGACTGTCCCCAGGGTTGGTGACCCCCTGGTGACCCCCCTGTCCCCCCCTGTCCCAGGCTGACCCCGGCAGCCCCCGGCACGGGGGGGAGCTGGTGGGACATTGGGGTCAGGGGGGGCTCTGTGACTGTCCCCAGGGTTGGTGACCCCTCAGGGGGTTCTGTCACTGTCCCCAGGGGTTGGGGGGCTCTGTCACTGTGTCCAGGGGTCAATGACCCCCTGGTGACCCCCTGGTGACCCCCCTGTCCCCCCTGTCCCCAGGCTGACCCCGGCAGCCCCCGGCACGGGGGGGAGCTGGTGGGACATGGGGGACAGGGGGGGTTCTGTCACTGTCCCCAGGGGTTTGGTGACCCCTCAGGGGGTTCTGTCACTGTCCCCAGGGGTTGGTGACCCCTCAGGGGGCTCTGTCACTGTCCCCAGGGGTCAATGACCCCCTGGTGACCCCCTGGTGACCCCCCTGTCCCCCCTGTCCCAGGCTGACCCGGGCAGCCCCCGGCACGGGGGGGAGCTGGTGGCCGAGGTGCTGCGGGCGCACGGGGTGCGGTTCCTGTTCGCTCTGCCGGGGGGTCACATCTCCCCCGTGCTGGTGGCCTGTGAGAAGCTCGGGATCCGCGTGGTGGACACCAGGCACGAGGCCACCGCCGTCTTCGCCGCCGACGCCGTGTCCCGGCTCTCCGGTGAGGGCCCCGACCCTGCTGGGGGGGGTTTGGGGGGGCTTTGGGGGTTCAGGGACCTTGTGGGGTCTCCAAGGTCCTTCCAGGGTGGGGTTTGTCCCTGATTGTCCCACTTTAGGATGGTTTGGGAGCTCTGGTGGGGTCAGGACAAGGAGGTGACCCCTTGGCCAACATCTCCAAAGGGTGGAGGGTTTTGGGGTGTCCCACCTTTGGGGGGGTCCTGGTTGAACGAAGAGGGTTCAGTAACTTTGTGGGTGTCCAAGGTCCTTCCAGGGTGGGGTTTGTCCCCATTTGTCCCACTTTAGGATGGTTTGGGAGCTCTGGTGGGGTCAAGGCGAGGAGGTGACCCCATGGCCAACATCTCCAAAGGGTGGAGGGTTTTGGGGTGTCCCACCCTTGGGGGGGTCCTGGTTGACCAAGGAGGGTTTGGGGACTTTGTGGGTTGTCCAAGGTCCTTCCAGGGTGGGGTTTGTCCCTGCTTGTTCCCCCCTGAAGGAAATTTGGGATCTCTGGTGGGGTCAGGACAAGGAGGTGACCCCTTGGCCAACACCTTTGCCAGTTGGGGTGTCCAAGCTCGGGGGGTCCTGGTGGACCTGGGAAAGGTTCAACGACTCTGTGGGTTGTCCAAGGTCCTTCCAGGGTGGGGTTTGTCCCCGTTTGTCCCACTTTAGGATGGTTTGGGAGCTCTGGTGGGGTCAGGACAAGGAGGTGACCCCATGGCCAACACCTGCCCAGCGGGTGGAGGGTTTTGGGGTGTCCCCCCCTTGGGGGGTCCTGGTTGACCTGAGAAGGTTTCAGTAACTTTGTGGGTGTCCAAGGTCCTTCCAGGGTGGGGTTTGTCCCCATTTGTCCCACATTAGGATGGTTTGGGATCTCTGGTGGGGTCAGGACGATGAGGTGACCCCTTGGCCAACACCTTTGCCGGTTGGGGTGTCCAAGCTTGGGTGGTCCTGGTGGACCAAGGAGGGTTTGGGGACTTTGTGGGTTGTCCAAGGTCCTTCCAGGGTGGGGTTTGTCCCCGTTTGTCCCACTTTAGGATGGTTTGGGAGCTCTGGTGGGGTCAGGGCGAGGAGGTGACCCCATGGCCAACACCTTTGCCAGTTGGGGGTGTCCAAGTTTGGTGGGTTCTGGTGGACCTGGGAAGGGTTCAACAACTTTGTGGGGTGTCCATGGTCCTTCCAGGGTGGGGTTTGTCCTCATTTATTCCCCCTAAAGATAATTTGGGAGTTTCACTGGGGACAGGAAAAGACCCCACAACCTCTTGGCCAGCACCTGCAATGGGTGGAGGGTTTTGGGGTGTCCCACCTTGGGGGGGTTCTGGTTGACCAAGGAAGGTTCAGGGACTTTGTGGGTTGTCCAAGGTCCTTCCAGGGTGGGGTTTGTCCCTGTTTGTCCCACTTTAGGATGGTTTGGGATCTCTGGTGGGGTCAGGACGAGGAGGTGACCCCATGGCCAACACCTTTGCCAGTTGGGGTGTCCAAGCTCAGGGGGTCCTGGTTGACCAAGGAGGGTTCGGGGACTTTGTGGGTTGTCCAGGGTCCTTCCAGGGTGGGGTTTGTCCCTGTTTGTCCCACTTTAGGATGGTCTGGGAGCTCTGGTGGGGTCAGGACAAGGAGGTGACCCCATGGCCAACACCCACCCAGCAGGTGGAGGGTTTGGGGTGTCCCAGCTTGGGGGGGTCCTGGTTGACCTGAGAAGGTTTCAGTGGCTTTCTGGGTGTCCAAATTCCTTCCAGGGTGGGGTTTGTCCCCATTTGTTCCCCCCTGAAGGAAATTTGGGAGCTCTGGTGGGGTCAGGACAAGGAGGTGACCCCATGGCCAACACCTGCCCCAGTGGACTTTGTGGGTTGTCCAAGGTCCTTCCAGGGGGGGGTTGTCCCCATTTATTCCACCCTAAAGATAATTTGGGAGTTTCTTTGGGGACAGGAAAAGACCCCACGACCTCTTGGCCAACGTCTCCAAAGGGTGGAGGATTTTGGGGTGTCCCAGCTTCACGGGGTCCTGGTTGACTAAGGAGGGTTTGACGACTTTTTGGGGTGTCCAAGGTCCTTCCAGGGTGGGGTTTGTCCCTGCTTGTTCCCCCCTGAAGGAAATTTGGGATCTCTGGTGGGGTCAGGACGAGGAGGTGACCCCTTGGCCAACATCTCCAAAGGGTGGAGGGTTTTGGGGTGTCCCACCTTGGGGGGTCCTGGTTGACCTGAGAAGGTTTCAGTGGCTTTCTGGGTGTCCAAGGTCCTTCCAGGGTGGGGTTTGTCCCTGTTTGTCCCACTTTAGGATGGTTTGGGAGCTCTGGTGGGGTCAGGACAAGGAGCTGACCCCTTGGCCAAACCTTTGCCAGTTGGGGGTGTCCAAGCTTGGGGGGTCCTGGTGAACCAAGGAGAGTTTGGGGACTCTGTGGTTTGTCCAAGGTCCTTCCAGGGTGGGGTTTGTCCCCGTTTGTCCCACTTTAGGATGGTCTGGGAGCTCTGGTGGGGTCAGGACAAGGAGGTGACCCCTTGGCCAACACCTCTGCCAGTTGGGGGTGTCCAAGTTTGGTGGGTTCTGGTGGACCTGGGAAGGGTTCAACGACTCTGTGGGTTGTCCAAGGTCCTTCCGGGGGGGGGTTGTCCCTGTTTGTCCCACTTTAGGATGGTTTGGGAGCTCTGGTGGGGTCAGGACAAGGAGGTGACCCCTTGGCCAACACCTTTGCCAGTTGGGGGTGTCCAAGTTTGGTGGGTTCTGGTGGACCTGGGAAGGGTTCAACGACTCTTGGACCTTGTCCAAGGTCCTTCCAGGGTGGGGTTGTCTCCATTTATTCCCCCTAAAGATAATTTGGGAGTTTCTTTGGGGACAGGAAAAGACCCCACGACCTCTTGGCCAACGTCTCCAAAGGGTGGAGGGTTTGGGGTGTCCCAGCTTAGGGGGGTCCTGGTTGACCTGAGAAGGTTTCAGTAACTTTGTGGGTTGTCCAAGGTCCTTCCAGGGTGGGGTTTGTCCCACTTTAGGATGGTTTGGGAGCTCTGGTGGGGTCAGGACGATGAGGTGACCCCATGGCCAAGGCCTGCCCTGTGGGTGGAGGATTTTGGGGTGTCCCCCCTCGCTCTCCTCCCGTTGACCCCAGAACCCACCTTGTCGCTCCCAGAGATCCTTCCAAGGTGTTTCCCCCCCTCCCCCACCTTGGATCAAACTCACCCCTTGGCTCCCCCTCAATAAGGGGGTGCCCAGGACCCTCCCAGCCTGGTTTTGTCCCCTCTCCTCATCCCCCCAGGTGTCATCGGCGTCGCCGCCGTCACCGCCGGCCCCGGGGTCACCAACGCGGTGACGGCCGTGAAGAACGCCCAGATGGCAGAGTCCCCCTGCTGCTGCTGGGGGCGGCAGCCTCGCTCCAGAAGGTGGGGAACAGCCCCAAAAACACCCCCTCCAAAAAACCCACCACCCCTAAAAAACACCCCCCAGAAAAACACCCCCAAAAAAACCCACCACCCCTAAAAACACCCCCAGAAAAACACCCCCTCCTCAAAAACCCACCACCCTAAAAACACCCCCAGAAAAACACCCCCTCCAAAAACCCACCACCCTAAAAACACCCCCAGAAAAACACCCCCGCAAAACCCACCACCCTAAAAACACCCCCAGAAAACACCCCCCAAAAAAACCCACCACCCTAAAGAACACCCCCAGAAAAACACCGCCCCAAAAACCCCCCACCCTAAAAACACTCCCCAAAAAACCCCCCGCCAAAAACCCACCACCCCTAAAAACACCCCCAGAAAACACCCCCAAAAAAACCAAACCCCAGGAGGGACACTGAGGGTGGGGAGGGGACACCGAGGGTGGGTGGGAGGGGAGCTCAGTTTGGGGTTAAACTGGGCTGGTTTGGGGGCTCAGTTTTGGGTTAAACTGGGCTGGTTTGGGGGGTCAGTTTGGGGTTAAACTGGGCTGGTTTGGGGGCTCAGTTTGGGGTTAAACTGGGCTGGTTTGGGGGCTCAGTTTGGGGTTAAACTGGGCTGGTTTGGGGGCTCAGTTTGGGGTTAAACTGGGCTGGTTTGGGGGTCAGTTTGGGGTTAAACTGGGCTGGTTTGGGGGCTCAGTTTTGGGTTAAACTGGGCTGGTTTGGAGGTCAGTTTTGGGTTAAACTGGGCTGGTTTGGAGCTCAGTTTGGGGTTAAACTGGCTGGTTTGGGGCTCAGTTTAGTTAAACTGGGCTGGTTTGGGGCTCAGTTTGGGGTTAAACTGGGCTGGTTTGGGGGCTCAGTTTAGGTTAAACTGGGCTGGTTTGGGGGGTCAGTTTGGGTTAAACTGGGCTGGTTTGGGGCTCAGTTTGGAGTTAAACTGGGCTGGTTTGGGGGCTCAGTTTGGGTTAAACTGGGCTGGTTTGGGGGCTCAGTTTTGGGTTAAACTGGGCTGGTTTGAGGGGTCAGTTTGGGTTAAACTGGGCTGGTTTGGGGGTCAGTTTGGGGTTAAACTGGGCTGGTTTGGGGGCTGTTTTGGGGTTAAACTGGGCTGGTTTAGGGGTCAGTTTGGGGTTAAACTGGGCTGGTTTGGGGGGTCAGTTTTGGGTTAAACTGGGCTGGTTTGGGGGCTCAGTTTGGGGTTAAACTGGGCTGGTTTGGGGGCTCAGTTTTGGGTTAAACTGGGCTGGTTTGGGGGCTCAGTTTTGGGTTAAACTGGGCCAATCTTGGGGCTCAGTTTGGGTTAAACTGGGCTGGTTTGGGGCTGAACTGACCCAGTTTGGGGCTCCCAGGGCAGTTTTGGGTCTGGGGCTGCTCTGGGTGGTCCCTGAGGCATTTCCTGGGATGGCTGATCCCAGGCTGTGTGTCCTGGCCTGGCTGATCCCAACCTGGCTGATCCCAGCCTGGCTGGATCCCAGCCTGGCTGATCCCAGCCGTGTCCCCAATGTCCCCTTGGGCCGGGGGGCTCTGCAGGACATGGAGCAGCTGTCCCTGTTATCCCAGCTGATCCCAGCTGATCCCGATATCCCAGCTGATCCTGATATCCCATCTGTGTCCCCCAGGGCCAGGGGGGGCTCTGCAGGACATGGAGCAGCTGTCCCTGTTATTCCAGCTGATCCCAGCTGATCCCAGCTGATCCCGATATCCCAGCTGATCCCAGCTGATCCCAGCTGATCCCAATATCCCAGCTGATCCCAGCTGATCCCAGGATCCTGTCTCTCTCCCCCCAGGGCCGGGGGGCTCTGCAGGACATGGAGCAGCTGTCCCTGTTCCGCACCCTGTGCAAGCTGATCCCGATATCCCAACTGATCCCGATATCCCAGCTGATCCCAATATCCCAGCTGATCCCAGCTGATCCCAGTATCCCATCTCTGTCCCCCAGGGCCGGGGGGCTCTGCAGGACATGGAGCAGCTGTCCCTGTTCCACACCCTGTGCAAGCTGATCCTGATATCCCAGCTGATCCCAGCTGATCCCAGCTGATCCCGATATCCCAGCTGATCCCAGCTGATCCCGATATCCCAACTGATCCCGATATCCCAGCTGATCCCACCTGATCCCAGCTGATCCCAATATCCCAGCTGATCCCAGCTGATCCCAATATCCCAGCTGATCCCGATATCCCAGCTGATCCCAGCTGATCCCGATATCCCAGCTGATCCCAGCTGATCCCAGCTGATCCTGGCTGTATCCCAGGATCCCAGCTGATCCCAGTATCCCATCTCTATCCCCCCAGGGCCGGGGGGCTCTGCAGGACATCGAGCAGCTGTCCCTGTTCCGCACCCTGTGCAGGCTGATCCCGATATCCCAGCTGATCCCAGCTGATCCCAGCTGATCCCGGGATCCTGGGCTGTGTTTCCAAGCCTGGCTGATCCCAGTATCCCATCTGTGTCCCCCAGGGCCGGGGGGCTCTGCAGGACATCGAGCAGCTGTCCCTGTTATCCCAGCTGATCCCAGGATCCCAGCTGATCCCAGCTGATCCCAGCTGATCCCAGGATCCTGTCTCTCTCCCCCAGGGCCGGGGGGCTCTGCAGGACATGGAGCAGCTGTCCCTGTTATTCCAGCTGATCCCAGCTGATCCCGATATCCCAGCTGATCCCAGCTGATCCCAGCTGATCCCAGGATCCTGGGCTGTGTTTCCAAGCCTGGCTGATCCCAGTATCCTGTCTCTGTCCCCCAGGGCCGGGGGGCTCTGCAGGACATGGAGCAGCTGTCCCTGTTCCGCACCCTGTGCAAGCTGATCCCGATATCCCAGCTGATCCCAGCTGATCCCGATATCCCAGCTGATCCCAGCTGATCCTGATATCCCAGCTGATCCCGATATCCCAGCTGATCCCAGCTGATCCCAGCTGATCCTGGCTGTATCCTGGGATCCCAGCTGATCCCAGTATCCCATCTCTATCCCCCCAGGGCCGGGGGGCTCTGCAGGACATCGAGCAGCTGTCCCTGTTCGCATCCTGCAGCTGATCCCGATATCCCAGCTGATCCCAGCTGATCCCAGGATCCCGTCTCTCTCCCCCAGGGCCGGGGGGCTCTGCAGGACATCGAGCAGCTGTCCCTGTTCCGCACCCTGTGCCAGCTGATCCCGATATCCCAGCTGATCCCAGCTGATCCCAGCTGATCCCACTGTATCCCAGCTGATCCCAATATCCCATCTCTCTCCCCCCAGGGCCGGGGGGCTCTGCAGGACATCGAGCAGCTGTCCCTGTTATCCCAGCTGATCCCGATATCCCAGCTGATCCCAGCTGATCCCAGCTGATCCCGATATCCCAGCTGATCCCAGCTGATCCCAGCTGATCCCGATATCCCAGCTGATCCCAGCTGATCCCAATATCCCAGCTGATCCCAGCTGATCCCAGTATCCTGTCTCTATCCCCCAGGGCCGGGGGGCTCTGCAGGACATCGAGCAGCTGTCCCTGTTCCGCACCCTGTGCAAGCTCTCGGTGTCCGTGGGGGCCGTCAGGGACATCGTGCCCACCCTGCGCGGGGCCATCGCCACAGCCCAGAGCGGCACCCCCGGTGAGGACCCCAAAAATAACCCCATGGAGGGGGGGAACCCAAAAATAACCCTGGGGGGAACCCCAAAAATACCCCGGGGAGGGGGGGACCCCAAAAACAACCCCAGGGGGGACCCCAAAACAACCCCGGGGGGACCCCAAAAACAACCCCAGGGGGAGGGGGGGAACCCAAAAATAACCCCGGGGGGGACCCCAAAAATACCCCGGGGAGGGGAGGGAACCCAAAAATAACCCCGGGGGGGACCCCAAAAACAACCCCGTGGAGGGGAGGACCCCAAAAATAACCCCATGGGGAGAGGATGGGGGGGACCCCAAAAACAACCCCGGGGGGGACCCCAAAAACAACCCCATGGAGGGGGGAACCCAAAAAACAACCCCAAGGGGAGAGGATGGAGGGGACCCCAAAAACAACCCTGTGGAGGGGGGAATGGACCCCAAAAACAACCCCGAGGGGGCCCCCAAAAACAACCCTATGGAAGAAGGGGGAGACCCCAAAAAATACCCAAGCGGGGGAAGGGCACCCCAAAACCAACCCCATGGAGGGGGGAATGGACCCCAAAAATAACCCCATGGAGGAGGGGAACCCAAAAATTACCCCGGGGGGGGGACCCCAAAAACAACCCCGGGGGGGACCCCAAAAACAACCCCATGGAGGGGAGGGGACCCCAAAAACAACTCTGGGGGGACCCCAAAAAACAACCCCATGGAGGGGATGGACCCCAAAAAATACCCCGGGGGAGGGAACCCCAAAAAATACCCCGGGGGGGACCCCAAAAACAACCCCCGGGGGGACCCCAAAAACAACCCCATGGAGGAGGGAATGGACCCCAAAAACAACCCCATGGAGGGGGGAATGGACCCCAAAAAACAATCCTATGGAGGAAGGGGGAGACCCCAAAAAATACCCAGGCGGGGGAAGGGCACCCCAAAACCAACCCCATGAAGGGGGGACCCCAAAAAACACCCCCATGGGGAGGGAATGGGGAGGTGAACCCCAAAAAACAAACCTATGGGGAGAGGTTTTGGGTTTTGAGGAGGTCTTTGGGGTTCTGAGGAGGTTTTGGGGTTCTGAGGAGGTTTTGAGGAGGTTTTGGGGTTTCAAGGAGGTTTTGAGGAGGTTTTGGGGTTCCAGGAGGTTTTGGGGTTCCAGAAGGTTTTGGGGTTCCAGGGAGATTTTGAGGAGGTTTTGGGGTTCTGAGGAGGTTTTGAGGTTTTGAGGAGGTTTTGGGTTTTTGAGGAGGTTTTTGGGGTTTTGAGGAGGTTTTTGGGGTCCCGAGGAGGTTTTGAGGAGGTTTTTGGGGTTCTGAGGAGTTTTTGAGGAGGTTTTTGGGGTTTTGAGGAGGTTTCTGGGGTCCCGAGGAGGTTTTGGGGTTTTTAGGAGGTTTTGGGGTTCCAGGAGGTTTTGGGATTTCAGGAGGTTTTGGGGTTCTGAGGAGGTTTTGGGGTTTTGAGGAGGTTTTGAGGAGGTTTTTGGGGTTCTGAGGAGGTTTTGAGGAGGTTTTGAGGAGGTTTTGGGTTTCTGAGGAGGTTTTGAGGAGGTTTCGGGGTTTTTAGGAGGTTTTTGGGGTTCTGAGGAGGTTTTGGGGTTCTGAGGAGGTTTGGGGGTTCCAGGAGGTTTTGGGATTCCAGGAGGTTTTGGGGTTCCAGGAGGTTTTGAGGAGGTTTTGGGGTCCAAGGAAGTTTTTGGGGTTCTGAGGAGGTTTGGGGTTTTTAGGAGTTTTTTAGGGTTCTGAGGAGGTTTTGAGGAGGTTTTGGGATTTTGAGGAGGTTTTTGGGTCCTGAGGAGGTTTTGGGATTTCAGGAGGTTTTGGGTTCTGAGGAGGTTTTGAGGAGGTTTTGAGGAGGTTTTGAGGAGGTTTTTGGGGTTCTGAGGAGGTTTTGAGGAGGTTTTTGGTGTTCTGAGGAGGTTTGGGGGTTTTAGGATTTTTGGGGGGTTCTGAGGAGTTTTTGAGGAGGTTTTGAGGTTTTGAGGAGGTTTTGAGGAGGTTTTGGGGTCCCGAGGAGGTTTTGAGGAGGTTTTTGGGGTCCCTAGGAGGTTTTTGGGGTCCCGAGGAGGTTTTGGGGTTCTGAGGAGGTTTTTGGGGTCCCAAGGAGGTTTTTGGGGTCCCGAGGAGGTTTTGAGGAGGTTTTGGGGTCCCGAGGAGGTTTTGAGGAGGTTTTTGGGGTTCTGAGGAGGTTTTTGGGGTTCTGAGGAGGTTTTGAGGAGGTTTTGGGGTTTTGAGGAGGTTTTGAGGAGGTTTTGAGGAGGTTTTTGGGGTTTTGAGGAGGTTTTGAGGAGGTTTTGAGGAGGTTTTTGGGGTTTTGAGGAGGTTTTGAGGAGGTTTCTGGGGTCCCGAGGAGGTTTCTGGGGTCCTGAGGAGGTTTTGGGGTCACTTCACCCCAATTCTGGCAGGCCCTGTGTTCGTGGAGCTCCCCATCGACGTCCTCTACCCCTTCCACGTGGTGCAGAAGGAGCTGGGGGGGGCCCGGAGCCCCCGCGGGCTGAGGGGGAAGGTCCTGAACTGGTGAGAACTGGGGGAAACTGGGCTGGGCTGGGGGAAACTGGGCTGGGTTAAACTGGGCTGGACTGGGGGAAACTGGGCTGGGTTAAACTGGGCTGGGGAAAACTGGGCTGGACTGGGGGAAACTGGGCTGGGTTAAACTGGGCTGGACTGGGGGAAACTGGGCTGGGTTAAACTGGGCTGGGGAAAACTGGGCTGGACTGGGGGAAACTGGGCTGGGTTAAACTGGGCTGGGTTAAACTGGGCTGGTTTGGGTGGTCAGTTTTGGGTTAAACTGGGCTGCTTTGGGGGCTCAGTTTGGGTTAAACTGGGCTGGTTTGGGGGGTCAGTTTGGGGTTAAACTGGGCTGGTTTGGGGGCTCAGTTTTGGTTAAACTGGGCTGGTTTGGGGCTCAGTTTTGGGTTAAACTGGGCTGGTTTGGGGGCTCAGCTGAGCCCATCTGGGGGGTCCCACCCCCCAATTTCCTCTCCAGGTACCTGCAGAACTACCTGCACAACCTGTTTGGGTTAAACTGGGCTGGTTTAGGGCCTCAGTTTTGGTTAAACTGGGCTGGTTTGGGGGCTCAGTTTGGGGTTAAACTGGGCTGGTTTAGGGAGTCAGTTTGGGGTTAAACTGGGCTGGTTTGAGGGCTCAATTTTGGGTTAAACTGGG